CTAACCTTTGCTCTATAGCATTTTTTATTCTATACATACTACTTTTTTTTTTTGGCTTTACACTTTTAATTTTTTTATTGTTATATTACAGTTGTCCCAACTTCTTTTCCCCTTTTGCCCCTCTCTGCCCAGCCCACCCCTCTTGCCCACAGTCAGTCTTTTCTCTGTTGTCCATGTCCATGAGTCATTCATACATGCTCTTTGACTAGTCCCTCCCCCTTCCTTCCACCATTCCCTGCTCCTGCCTCCCCTCCTACAGCTATCAGTCTGTTTCATGTTTCCATGTCTTTGGTTCTCTTTTTCTCATTAGTTTATTTTGTTCATTAGATTCCAGTGATAAGTGAGGTCATATGGTATTTATCTTTCGCCACCTGGCTTATTTCACTTAGCATAATAGTCTCCAGTTCTATCCATGCTGTTGCAAAAAGTAGGAGTTCTTTCTTTCTTCTGCATAGTATTCCATTGTATAAATGTACCACTGTTTTAATCCACTCATCTACTTACGGGCAGTTGGTCTGTTACCAACACTTAGCTACCATAAATAGCGCTGCTATGAAAGTAGGGGTGCATAAGTTCTTTTGAATTGGTGTTTCTGGATCCTTAGGGTATTCCTAGCAGTGGAATTGCTGGGTCATAAGGCAGTTCCAGTTTAATTTTTTTGAGGAAATCGCATACTGTTTTCACAATGGCTGCACCAGTCTGCATTCCCACCAATAATGCATGAGGGTTCCCTTTTCTCCACATCCTCACCAGCACTTGTTGTTTGTTGATTTGTTAATGATGGCCATTCTGACAGGTGTGAGCAGATATCTTATTGTCCATGCATACCACTTAGAGTATGTATTCTGTCTTGTACGATAGCAGATGTGCCTGTCTCTACTGTTAGACTATAAGCTTCTTGAGGACCAGGGTCATATCTTGTTTATTGTATTCTCCACAGTCTTAGAACACTGCCTTGTATGTGATAGGCAATTAGTTAAGATTTGTTGAATCAAACTGTATACCACTTTAGGACAAACATTTCTTTAAATGTTTCCTGTTTCAAGTACTGTTCCTTGTGGCGCAAGAGGTAGAGTCCCATGCTTCTCTCTGTTTTTGAGGGGCTCTCAGTGTAGTAAGGGAGATGGAGAAGTAAACGAATGATCATTGCATGGTGTGCTAAAATAGAGGACTGTCCAGAATACTGGGAAACAGGAACAGCATCTCTGAAGCCAGAGATGATTTCACAAAGGAGGAGCAAATGAGAGGATGAGCATAGTTTGTTCAGGTAAACAAAACGGGAAGGAAAGAACATGTAAATACCATGTGCCACGGTATAGCTTAATCTGAAATCTGGTTGATTTGGGGAATTTGAGGCAGTAGTTATGCTTTGAAGTGGTGCTGGGAAGACAGGCAGAGAACAAATCATGGAAGATAATGCTGATAAACTTTTTATCTTTTAGGTTGTGTGAAGATAAACACTTCAAAATTTTTATATTTTAGGAGAAAACACCATACTTTTACTTTTTTGATATTGTTTAAAATATGGCTAACTAAAAAACAAAAGTAGATTCAAAGAAATGTATTACAGGAGTACACTGTTGTAGGTGGTAGGAGTGACAGTGGTATCTGAATAGAGTTTGGGAAACACTGCCATAAACAGAAGAATGCCTTTGAGAGATTTTTACGGAAGTGACACTAGGTTTTGGAACTATTATGGCAACAGTTGTGGACCATGGGTTGGAATGAGATGCAAATTTCATAGAAGCAATAGACTAGGTGACATGAGAACTTGAAGTAACAAGTGATTCTGATGTTTAAAAGGAAGTGAAGAAGGTATAATAGGACCTGTTGACAGAGTAGGTCTAGGTAATCGGGGAGAGGGAAGAGTTCAGTGTAATCTTGTAGTTTCTGGCATGAATTATTTAGTAAGTACTGTAACTAGATTAAGGAATGAAAGGGAGTTTGGTTTGGGTCACACTGAATTTGAAAGGTATAGTTCAGAAGACTTGGATACACATGTTGGTTAGTTAACAAGTATTTCTTAATTGCCATATGTACTCTGGGCGTTGTTCTAGTAGTAGTAAACTCAGGAGAAAGGTCTAGACCAGTGGTTCTCAACTGGGGCTGATTTTGCACTGGAGGACATTTGGCAATATCTGGAGACATTTTTGTTTGTCACAGCTGGGGGTGCGGGTTGCTGTAGGTATCTAGTGGATGTAGAAGCCAGAGATACTGCTTAACATCCTATAATGCACTGGACAGAAGTCCCTGACAACAAAAAATTAATCAGTAGTAGTGCTGTGGTTGAGAATTTAAAACCCAGTGTATTTGAGGGACAAGAGGGAACAGGAAGACAGGAGCAGATAATAGAATGGAACCATGAATAAGTTTCTTAAGGAAAGGGTAGGCAAGGCGAATAGGGTCTCCTAAGAATGGGGGCCATGAACACCTAATTATTCAAGGATTAGGAATTAATTGGGTACCATGGGAAGAGATAGGTATAGTTTGCCCTAAATTTGGGATAAGATTAAGAATCTTGCCTTAGTGCCTTTTTGAAACAGTGAGAGTAATCACACTTCCTACAAACCAAGCAGCGGAACAAAACCATGAAGGGCTTTGGAGGAGCTTCTCCTATGGCAAGGCGGTCCTGAGGCCACTCTACATAGTAGTTTGACATATGCAGAGTTTATGCTGAGATTTCATAGACTTTTTATTTTTGTGTTTGCTTGATAGGAATTTGTAAACTACTGCTTAACAGAGAGATGAGAAGCAATGATTTTGGCTTAGAGACTTAACTCTAAACCCTCAGTTGGGACGCGGAAGTGGCAGTGGCAGGAGGCAGCTGTTACTTTACTCAAGTTAGTATGCCTGGCCTCAGGTTAAAGATGCTGCCTGAGTAGTTTACATGTGTTCTCTAGACACTCTCTGGCCTTTGAGATTGGTAGGGTTTCAGAGTGATTTTTTTATAGTGTACTGTTATTTTCAGATCAATACAGGGGTTATGGGCCAATCTCCTTGCAGTTCAGGAAGAATGATGGGCTAGGAGAGCCAATCCATATGTGGGTGCACATTCTGGAACATTCAAATATGGGAACCATGGAGGATCCCTCAGGAAATCTGTGCTGTAATTAGTTTCAGAATGTGAATTAAATGATAACTCTCTTGGTTCCAAAAGGATATAGAGTGGTTTTCAAAGGTGCACTCAATATGGCAAGATAAACTATATTCAGAATAAGTGAGACAAAGAGAAAATAAAGGTAGGAAACAAAGATGGAACCAACAGTAAAAGTAAGAATATACTTTCATATATAACATAAAAGCTGTGATGATCATCTTTTTTGAGATTAGGCCCTACTTCTTTGAGATTAGGCTCTAAGCTTTCTAGGAGCCACTGAAAGAAGGGAACTGATCAGTTAAAAAGTTCAGAGTCACTGTGGCCTGGTAGTTCAGTTGGTTAGAGTATTGTCCTGATATGCCAAGGTTGCAGGTTCTATCTCTGATCAGGGCATGTGCAAGAATCAGCCAATGAATGCATAAACAAGTGGAACAACAAACTGACGTTTCTCTTTCTCTCTCTCCTTTCCCTCCCTTCCCTTTCCTCTCTGTCTAAAAGCAAAGAGACATTTCTCTCCTGAGTCCTCCTTGAAGGCAACTGTTTAATCACAGTATCCTGTATACCTTGTTCATAGCCTACACAGTGCAAGCCATATGGAGGACTATCTCCTACAGTGTCCCTTACTACAGGTTGATAGCATGACATTAAAGTGCAATTGGGGAAAAAGCAATTGGGAAAGGAGGACAGTATGATGCAGGGTGAGGACAGGCCTCTTTAAAGGACAGCCTCACTTTAATTCAGGGTGGAGTTTATAGTGGGTCTGTTTGGGTAACATTTTAATAACTGATCTTTAAAGGGGTGTAATCAGTGGAGCCCTCAAATATATAAGTAACCAACACTTCCCTGAGAATGGGCAAATATTAATAGAAAGGTCAACACTGTAGGAAATAGAGAACTTTTCTCTCCCAAAGATGCATTGTGGAAAGAGTGGTAGATGAGCTTCTTTGGCGGCTTTTGTCAGAGGATGTGTTGGAGGAAATATTTAAATTGTATTCATGATATGTACTCTGACCTTTACTGATGGAAGGTAGGACTCTTCTTAAAAGATGTGAAATCTGAAAGGAAGTGTGGATGGGACAAGTGTCTGACGACATGCAGACCTCATATTAACAAAGAGAAAACTCCTCCCATTCTTGAACAAATTACAGCAAAGCACTTCTACAAATACCTTTGGTGGAATTCTCTTTGAATAGGTTCGTTGAGTGTATCTGGAAAATTATTTCAAGTATTATTTGAATAAGGCATTATACCTAAGAAAGGTGGGTAAGGTCCTGAGATAGTTACTCTAAAACATCACTATATTGCCCTGGCTAGGTGGCTCAGTTGGTTGGAGCGTCATCCTGTACACCAAAAGGTTTCAGATTCCATCCATGGTCAGGGCACCTACCTAGGTTGTGAGTTTGAGCCTTGGTCGGGAGGCAACCAGTTGGTGTTTCTCTTTCACATTGATGTTTGTCTTCAATGAAAGCATGTCCTTGGGTGAGGATAACAGAAAAAAAATCACTGTATTTTATTTAAAAAATTGTCCAGTAGCAGAAAAAATTTTTAAAGTATTAATTGCTGCTTTATGAAGCTAACTTAAAAGAGCAGTGCTCTTCTGGCAAAATGAGGAAAAAGAAGGTGATAATGAAAGACTATTAAAAAAATACAGGCCAGGCATGGCATATTTGTTCTTTGGAACTAACCTTAAGATACATGGAAGTGAGTTAAGGTTTTAAAAAAGTGCAAGTAGTAGGTTATAAACTTTGGGAGCTAATTACTATAAACATAATCCCAGAATCATCAAAGGACAGTTTCCTTTCCTATCAAACAATGTTAAGTATTGGTTCTTGTCTTTTTGTTATATGATCCTTAGTTTTAATATTGTAGTAAGAGTTTGCATTTTATCTTTTTTTTCTTACAGCGGCTATGTGACTATGTTTGTGATCTCCTCTTAGAAGAGTCAAATGTTCAGCCAGTATCAACACCAGTAACAGTGTGTGGAGACATACACGGACAGGTAAAATTTTATGAGCAGATTTTTAGCTTTGTACTGTCCATAGTCCATGTGTGTTTCTACTTGTGCTGCAAAAAACAAACAAGCAAGCAAAAAACAACAGTTGGTGGTGGTTGGCTAAGTTACCTCAGTCTGTATGACACAATTCCTCGTTACTGTTCCAGCAAATAAAAGCAGTGGTCAAATTATTAATGGAGTTTGTTGAAATTATACCTGCAAGGTGAATAGAATGCAGCACTGTTGTTCCATGGAAAGGGGGAGATAGAAAACACAAATGTGCACTGCTTGTAGTTATTATGATTAATAGATGCTTTTGTTTTAGGCACTGATTTTCTATTCATTCTATTCTTTTCTGTCATACTTTGTTGAAAATTTATCATTTCTTTAGTGGGACTGATAATAGCAAAGGCTCAGAAAGAAAACTGTTGGTACATGATTTCATAGCAATTCACTTCTAGAATGGGACTAGAGAGATTTATTTCATTTATTTTTTTATCTGCTGGTTTTTGTTTATTTGTTTTTTAAGAGTTTCAAGGCAGGATGAGCATGCCTCATCTTTAGGCTCTTACTGTCAGTGTTTGGCCTAGTGTGTTTCTAAAGTTTTTTTTAAATAAGGGAATCAAACGTGAACTGACCACTTCTAGTCGGCTGTATGCATGAAAGGGAGTTGCGGCTACAGGACATGTATACATTGTGAACAATATAGTGTTTATGAATATTAACAGGAATTACTATCTTACATGCAGTTTTCCTGCCTTACATATGACTGCCTAAAAGAGCAGAAATGTGACTAAATTGGTTGTGGTTGGGGGCTGCTCGAGTAAAGTCCTATTTTGACTACTTAGAGGACTCTTTTTGGCTTTTCAATCTGTTCTCTGAATGGCTGAGATTATAAGACCTCTGACAGCTGCATGTTCTCAGCTTCTAAATAGAGACCCCATTATGTCATCTGTGATCTGTTAGTAGATTTTAGGAGTGGATTTCTTAAAATTTCCATGTAACTTCTCTCCAAAAGATAATAAACATTTGAATTTTGCTAACATAAAGTTCCTTAACACATTCCTAAAAGCTGGAATAAAAGCAAGCAGTGTTTTCCTCTACTTCTATTAAAATTGAAGGGGTATCAAGAACTTTTCAATATATGAATTGCAGTCATGTTCAAAGTTCAGGGAGTTAGAGACAACTTCAAACTATAAAAATTAATTAAAATTATAAAATTGTACTTACATATTATATATACCTTCAGCCAATGTACAGTTCTTGCTAACATTTATTTTATGTTTTGAGGTTAACAAAATGCTTTTTCCCATGTTCCATGTAAAATTTTTTCAGGAGTCCTATAAGATTGGATCATTTTATAGAGAAGGAAACTGAGACTGAAAGGTTGAAATTAACCCAAACTCTCAGAGCTCTTAAGGGACAGAGCAGAGATTTGAAACTCATTTGGGTGCCCAGTAGCCTATGTTAATTTAAGACTACCATCGAACTGTGAACATTGTTTCTCTTGTACCTGACCCTTTAAAACAATTGCTAATCAAAAGCAAGGGACTTGAGGAGCTTCTATCTGTAAACTAAATGTAAGATATGTCCTTTGGGACTTGTACAGTTGTCTTTCACTTGGGCAGCTCTGGAATTGCAGGATTGGGTTATGAGTATAAATAAACATGTTGGCAAGCATATACAGCTGTCCCTTGGTATCCTCAGGAGGTTGGCTTCAGGACCGCCCACTAAAATCCTGTGATGCTCTAATCCCTTATATAAAATGGCATAGTATTTGCTTATAACCTCTGCATGTCCCCATATACTTTAAATCTAGATTACTTATAATACCTAATACAATGTAAATGCTATACAAATAGTTGTTTAAAGAATAATAACAAGAAAGAAAAACTCTGTACATGTTCAGTGTAGACATAATCATTGTACGTCTAGCTACATGGTACATGTCAGCAGAAACATAGCATCCCCTCCCCGCCCCCGTTCCTGAATATTTTCAATTTGCTGTTGGTTGAATAGGGATGAGTCTGCAGTACAGAATCCAGGATCTGCAGATAAACATGGCCTACTGTAGTGCTGACAGGCAATGAAGCAGTGTAATCGAGTGAGGAGATGGTAGACTTCAATGTCAGACAGAGCTTTGTTTAAATCCTGACTTAGCTACACACTAGCTGATTCAGAAACCACTTCAGCTAGCTCATAAGTTCTTTAAGTATGGCCTGTGGATCCTTGAGGGTCTCTAAGGTGTTACAGAATCAGTTGAGGGTAAAACTGCTGGTACCTCAAAACGAAATCCAGAGAGTAGCACCAGACTATGCTAGTTGCTGCTGTCTTCTGTACAAACATGCATGCACAGTGAAATAAAATACCGCTATTACATAAGCTTGTCCTTGATGAAGCAGTGATATTTAATTGTAACTCTCAACCCTGAGTAGATAATGCTTTTTGTTATTGTTCAATTACAGTTGTCCCCATTTTTCTCCTATTACTCTCTCTGCCCTACCTACCCCCCACCATCCACATTCAATCACTGTGTCCCCTCCCCCACGACTGTTGTATTTGTCCATGGATCCTTTATACATTTTCCTTGACTCGACCCTTCCCCTTCTTCCCCCGCTAAAGTCCCCCCCCCTCGCCCCCATCACTGTCATTTTGTTTTTTATTTCCAAGTCTCTAGTTCTATTTTGCTAGCCTGTTTGTTTTGTGAATTAGGTTGAGTAGATACTTCTTTTGAATGTAATGAACTAGGAAGTCTGCATAGGCACATCTGCTGCATGCTGAAGAAGGATGGCTTGCTCAAGGAAAAGTGCTGTGTAGTTCTTTGCATTAGGAGCTGAGTAGCCTCTTTTTTTTATGGAGTGCTATTTTTACTTGAGAAGAGGAATGACTAACTGGGTATTTGGCAGCCATTTTTTCAAAAGTGAAGGAAGTGGTTAGCCAGTCACTTTAGGGAACACAATTGATCGGTTTTGTTGCCAATGCCAGAATTTGAGTTTTCAAATGAAAAATTGGAATTTTGGAAGATTTGAGTCCACTACCATAAAGATAACAGCTTCTGATATTTAAAGACTTTTTTGATGAGGCGAGTGGTAATAATAACATATTAACAAATACAGCTTTTGATGATGTGTAATGAATTGTTATTTCCACTTGCCAAGTGCTAAGTATGTTATCCAATCAAAGTGTTACACCAATCTATTCGAGTATGGTAAGACCACTCTTCAAGTTTTGATATGTTAAAAAAAAATATGCACTGTTATCTCTAAAGGTGATTAAAATACTTCCTCCTTTTGTAACACATACCTGTGTGAAAGCTGGGTTTTCTTCATATGCTTAAATCACCCTAACCCAACAGATTGAATGCAGAAACAGGGAATGGGAGTGTCCAGCTCTGTTGTATTTAGCAAGGCATAAAAGAGATTTGCAAAAATGTAAAACAAGGCCACTTTTCTCATTAAATTTGTTTTGGGAAACAGTTTATTTTTCATTAAAATATGTATATGATACTATTTAATGAGTTACTGGGCTTTTAAATGAAATTTTTAAAATTACCTGTTTTAATTTGTAATATGGTATAGACTGATTGATATAACCTACACAGACAAAAGCTTTTTGGCAACCTCTAATTTTTAAGATGATGAATGGGCTCTGAAACCAAAAAGTTTAAAAACTATTGAGCTAGCCAACTGTTTCCTTGCCTTTAATGATGGAAAAAAATCCGTTTCTCAAGATTGGTTTTGTTTTAAAATGAAAACATTTACAGAGTGTCTGTGGTATGAAAAACACATAATAGATGGTAGAAATTATTTGTGAAATGATGAGGTGGGCTTCTAGTAATGTAGGACAGGGTTAATTATCTGCACATGTTCTCAGTAAATGTTTATTATATTAAATAATTTTGGAAAAAAACTTCCAATATGGAGTAGGAACTATGAATCCCAGAAGCAAAATTTTTTGTTGTCTATTAAACGTACACAAGGTACATGGAAACTTATAAAGCTTTTATTCAAGAGTATATTTCTATAAACATCAGTAGAAAGTTTAAATTCACTTACTCTTCTATGAGATTTTTAATCTACCACGCTTTATGAAAGCAGCTGTTTTGTAAAACTTTTTAATGTTCTTTTCCTGACTTTGTGTGTATACATACTCAGTTTTTACATAATAAAATTGTGTAGTTATAGTATAGGTATAGTTTTGTGTTCCATTCTGTTCCCTAATCATTTTTCCATTTTGCTACATACTTTCCATTATAATTGTTATTCATGACCACATTAGGTTGTAGTCCTTGAGCTGGTAGATCATACTTTATTAAAATATTTCCTACTGTTAATCATGAAACTTTTTTCTTTTGTTATTCTGAATGCTGTTGTAACACATTTTTTATATTTTTACACAGATGAGGTTTTTTGCCTTTAGGATATAGTCAGAGAAGTGGAATTAGTAGGCCAGAGTTATACACACACGTACATGTATCTATACAGTGAGAGTGTGTATGTATACGAAGTCTGTCCAGAAGGTATCAGCCTTGTAATATGAAAAACAGAAACATTTATTGAAGAAGATACAAGAAACACTGTACATTGAGGACAATTTGTACACAGGACAGTTATGCCTCAGTCCCCTTCAAAGTAGGTACGTTGCGACCTCACACAGTTCTTCCAAACGCCATCAGCCGCCCTGTCGTATTTTCCTGAATCTCATCAATGACCTGAAATCTCTTCCCTTTCAAAGGTGATTTTAGTTTTGGGAAAAGTCAGAAGTCGCAGGGCGCCAAATCTGGGCTGTAGCGGGGCTGAGTCACCTGCACGATTTGATGTTTTGCCAAAAAACTATGCACCAGACGTGATGCATCAGCAGGTGTATTGTCATGATGAAGCTGCCAATCACCAGCTGCCCATAGCTGCAGCCTTCTGAATCATCCGAATAGTTTCCGTGGAAGAATGTTCAAGCTTAATGCAAAATGTGATGCAGATTTGTTGCTCTAGTCAGTCATTTTCAATGCCATGGCCACATAGTACACATGCTCACTCAGTGGCGTCCACCACCCCCACTGACTAGTACAGTGAAGTCATCATTGTTCACGCATGTGAATTCCAGTCCACACGCCTTGAACATTGTTGCACAAACTGTTCTCGTTGTATTAACGATGGCTGGACTTTTTCTGGACAGACCTCATATATATAAATGTATAGATATTTCTTTTTTACTGCTCATACTGTGTGTGTTTGTGTAAAATAATGTAAAAACATGATATGCCTGCACACATCATATTCCTTTCAAATGGAGGGACTCTACATAGTAGTAATGGACAGTAAATATTTTGAAAACATAACATAGTCTACCACTTGATTGAGATTAAATATTTGTGTCATTTATTTGCTAATTTTAAGAAGATTGAAGAATTATATTTTAAATTTTCTAAAGTTTAAGCAAGTAATAACCCTTTAGATTTTTGAAAGTGTTATAAAGGGGAATACTTTATTTCAGTAGTTAACATTTAAATTTCAGTTTTATTCACTGTTATTAAGATTGCTATACCGTTTTGAGTATTAGAAATTTAAATAATAATTTTATTTTCAAGTGTAAAAGATGTGTAGGGAATTATAGTTGGTACAGTTTAGTCAGTTCCTTTCATCTTAAACCTTTTTTTCAGAAAAACTGAAGTTTTCTTTAAGAATTAGATTAGGGTAATCTAGTTGACTGACATTACCAAATGTGCAATTAGTCATTTACCAATTTTCAGTCAAATAGAATATCTTGAAATATACAGTTCTGTTTTTACTGGTTATTGAGAAGATGCTTTGAGAAGACGCTTATTGAGTTTTTACTGGTTATATCTGTGGACCCGAGGAGACACATTTCCAACAGTAGAGTGCAGCAAGGCAGGTCGATCTGTTCTTCATGGCATAAAGCGTCGTGTAAGTTTAAGTTCTTTGAAAGAAATTTTTACCAACTTATCTCCTTTTATCTCATTGAAATAGATGCTGAATATGTATGTGTCTGGATGGTTAGGTTAGCTTATTGACAAGTTAGGTGACTGAGAAGTTAAATGGTTTCACATCCTCAAGTGATGGGTGAGGAGATGTACGAAAGAAATTTGAGAGGGACGCCTAAAACACTAATGATCTAGAAATGGCTTTATGGTAACTGTGAGCTTTATTTTAATGCCTTTTTTTGGCTTCGGAGCTGTGTCCTTGGCAGTTTTGTTTATACTTTTTTAAATTAATGTAAATATTTGAAGTCCTCTTAACCACTTCTTCACACATTTGCTCTCAGTTTTATTATTTTACTCCTTCTTAGGAATTTGTAATCAACATATATTGCCTTTCTTTTATAGTTTTATGACCTTTGTGAACTATTCCGAACTGGAGGTCAGGTTCCTGACACAAACTACATATTTATGGTATGTAAACACCAGTGATATCAAGTATTTATTTAAAAAGGAAAAAAAATCTGTCCTATTACATGTAAATTACAAAGTAATTTTTGCCATGTGATAATGACTATTTACATATCTGAAAAGGTGATTCTATACTTTCCTACATTTTTCCCTGTCCTCTAGTTGAGAATAAATGCTTTAGTAAACTGCTATATACATAGGACTGGGTTGTAGCCCTCAATAATGGTTGGGCAGAAGAATATCTCAGAAATGCTGGTTGAAGTCATACATTTTTACTCTTTATTTTACAAGACGTTTTTGAGCATTCATTTTTATCTCTTACTAATCCAGTGATTGATGAGTATACACACATACACACTTGCTATTAAGAATCATATTTACTTGGTTTTCTTTCAGAATGTAATGTTACTGTTTTACTTTTTCTGAATCTTGTCATGTTTCTTTCCTCTGAAAGTTTTGGCATAACTTTCCTATTATTTTTTTTAGCTGTTTTCTTAATGGTCTAATATTGGCCTAGGTAAAATGTTAATGGGCATGTTATGATAGACCATTGTTAAATACAAAGCTGAACATGGAACAATGTTAAAATTATGGAATTTGCTATTACCAAAAAAACCCCAAAAAAACCCCAAAAAACCCAACAAACCCTATTTTCTTCAAGTTGGCAGCTCCTCTGATATAGTTCAAATTATTTTTGAAATTTATTTAAAACTTTGAATTTACATGGTTTTTTTTTTGAAACATCTGTTAATGTAGGTAATAATTGGAAAAACGGTGTTTTTTCCAGGGAAAATCATGGAGAGAATTGTACTGCAGGTATCTGTAGGCCTCTTAAATCGTCGACTAGCACAAACACTTAGTAAAAACAGCCTATTTACTTCCATTTGAATATTTGTTAAAACTCAATTTCCAAATAATTCAATGTATAACTACACATTTTTGTTATTTTGGGCTGTGTCTCTGAGTTTGTGTAGTTTGGTATAATTTTTTAAAAATATCGTTGCTATTATATTGTTTATAACTGTAAACTTTTACTTTACAGGGTGATTTTGTAGACAGAGGTTACTATAGTTTGGAGACCTTCACTTACCTTCTTGCACTAAAGGCTAAATGGCCTGATCGTATTACGCTTTTGCGAGGAAATCATGAGAGTAGACAGATAACACAAGTGTATGGATTTTATGGTAAGACCTTCTGTTTTTGTGATTCTGCATATTGTTTTACTTTCCTCTTTGGGGGGAAAAAGCCATACAAGTCATATGTGTGGTTTATAGGAAAATGAGAAAATACACATAATCTTTTTCCACTTTCTCACTTTCAACTTCCTCTCTTCCCTCAGTCAATGGAAAATCTTGGGAGAGAAAAACCATTCTGAACTTTTTGGTCTACATCTTTTTATTGGGTTGGCCAAAAAGTCTGTTACGTTTTTTTCTGTAAAATAAAAGACACATTTTTCATTATCACCAATAACTTTATTGATTTGGATGTTTTGAGTATGTCAGCTATCTCCCGCTATTGGTTTCTAGTGGATAGAGCCCAGGAGTGCAGCTAAACATCTTCCAATGCATAAGGCGGTCCCAAAGCAAAGAATTATTTGGCCAGAATGTCAAAGGTACCAATAAAGTTCACAATCCACTTTTGACACATTCGATCAGTCACAGTACTTTTTTAATACGCTGCACAAATCTTTTTGTTTCAGTTGTGTTTTTACCTTTCTTTAAATAATAAAGCATAATACATCACAAATGTTATAGATCTTCCATCTTTAATATTAAAATGGCTGCACAAAATTTCACCAATTTTGGTAAGTTTTTTTAATGCACATTGATGTGACAGCTGTTACAGTCTAACAAAATTGTTTCAAATGAAGTTAAAGACAACTAAGCACTACTAGAGCCATGGTATGGAAGAAACTGAATGAACTTTATGGTCAACCCAATAGATCAGTGCCTCAAAGTATAGTCTTCAGTTTACCTCATTGGTATCGTCTGGGGTACTTGTTAAAAATGTAGATTACTGGGCCTTCTTGCAGATTTTTTGTGGTGGGACCCTTGAATCTACTGAAGGTGAATGTTCTGCACATTCAAGTTTGAGAATCTGTTCTATATATATGTACATATTTGTGTGTGTGTGTTGTATACATGTGTGCATGTACACACTACTCTAAAATGGGATCACGCTGGCTTTTTTTCATTTACTATTGACTTGCCTTTTTACTTCATTAATGTATTTTTATAGCAGGATTGTTTTATACTGTATGGACATCCTATAGTGGTATTAAGCAATCCCTTTAACATCGGATGTTGGAGTTATTTTTAAGTTGCTGTTATATGCATAGCTGAATGAATATCCTTTTACATATATGAGGTCTGCAGGGAAAAGTCCAGCCATCGTTAATACAACGAGAACAGTTTGTGCAACAATGTTCAAGGCGTGTGGACTGGAATTCACATGCGTGAACAATGATGACTTCACTGTACTAGTCAGTGGGGGTGGTGGACGCCACTGAGTGAGCATGTGTACTATGTGGCCATGGCATTGAAAATGACTGACTAGAGCAACAAATCTGCATCACATTTTGCATTAAGCTTGAACATTCTTCCACGGAAACTATTCGGATGATTCAGAAGGCTGCAGCTATGGGCAGCTGGTGATTGGCAGCTTCATCATGACAATACACCTGCTGATGCATCACGTCTGGTGCATAGTTTTTTGGCAAAACATCAAATCGTGCAGGTGACTCAGCCCCGCTACAGCCCAGATTTGGCGCCCTGCGACTTCTGACTTTTCCCAAAACTAAAATCACCTTTGAAAGGGAAGAGATTTCAGGTCATTGATGAGATTCAGGAAAATACGACAGGGCGGCTGATGGCGTTTGGAAGAACTGTGTGAGGTCGCAACGTACCTACTTTGAAGGGGACTGAGGCATAACTGTCCTGTGTACAAATTGTCCTCAATGTACAGTGTTTCTTGTATCTTCTTCAATAAATGTTTCTGTTTTTCATATTACAAGGCTGATACCTTCTAGACAGAGCCTCTCGTGTGTGTGTGTGTGTGTGTGTGTGTGTATGTGTGTACACAAATATATGTTCATATATATGATATCCCAAGGATCTATGAATATGTTTTCACATATGTATGTATAAAATGATATATATAAAAAAAAATCTGTGTACTTGTTCCAAGAGAATCCCACGACCTCAGAGATTGGAAACAGAATTCAGCCATTAAAATAAAATAGCTGCTTTTATAACAATTCTGTATGGTTGAAGGTTTTTAATAAACAAGGTTAAGAAATTCTTTGAATAAGAATTGTTGAGATTATTAATAATGAATTTTACTTGACCACAATTAAGACAGATATTGAAAGATTTGAAAATAATTTTATAGCCCTTTAGTTTTAGATTTTATATTTTGAATATTCTGCTTATATTCTGTCATCATAAAGATAAGCTGAACTCTCTTATTCTCTTACCTAGCTAAGCTGAATTTCTTTCGTCCTAGTATTTAACATATTCTTTATTTTTATCAGCAGACTCAGAACTACATTATTGAGATCTCTCCTGTTTCTTTTATAGATGAGTGCCAAACCAAATATGGAAATGCTAATGCCTGGAGATACTGTACCAAAGTTTTTGACATGCTGACAGTAGCAGCTGTAAGTTTATTTAAATCTTTTTAAAGCCTCAAGTATTTTCTTGCCAGTAGCACTTTGCATATTTTTATCTAATTGCCATTTTAGTTCTATTGATACTATTAGGATTCATTCATGAATTTGGATGTGACTGAGTTTATTATTGTATGTTCGACTTTTGTTATCTTTTTTCGTTAGCTAATAGATGAGCAGATTTTGTGTGTTCATGGTGGTTTATCTCCTGATATCAAAACACTGGATCAAATTCGAACCATTGAACGGAATCAAGAAATTCCTCATAAAGGAGCATTTTGTGATCTGGTTTGGTCAGATCCTGAAGATGTGGATACTTGGGCTATCAGTCCCCGAGGAGCAGGTTGGCTTTTTGGCGCAAAGGTCACAAATGAGGTAAAGCCAACATTTTTGGAAAAGTGATTGGTTGCTGATGACTGTTTAAAGAGCTATGGTGGCAGTAAACAATCTTCTTGTCCAGTTTATTTAAACTCTGGTAGTTATGGATATCAAATTTCTCATGTAGTTTATCATATGTATATTTCCTTAATGGTTAGATGAGATAATGAAATGTAAGCACCTCTTTCAGCACCTACTTGGTACTATGTGTAAAGTAAGTGTTTCTTTTCTTTCAAATATTGTAATTAAGCAATGAGATGAAGCAAGGGCAAAATAGGCAACTTTAAAAATATGTATTTTAGTATTTATATTTTTAATTGTGATACAATTAATGTGTTATATTAGTTTGAGGTGTACAACATAATGACTTGATATATGGATATATTTTGAATAAGCAACTTTTTGAGGTTCAACTGCACACACATGCGCACACATGCACACACACACGAGCTATATTGGGAAGTAATCTAGCATGGAATGAGAGAGAGCTATATTCAAAATAACTTGCCACTTACCTTGTCTGAATCTCTGTTCCCTTAAATGTCAAGAGGATAATAAACCTCTGGCAGAATTCCTGCAAGAACCATATTAAACCCTCAGTAAATGATAGATATGGTAGCAATATATTTATTATTAAACCATAAAAACTTTTGTTTCATATCTGATAATACTTGTAGAATGCTTTTCTTCCAGGAACTTCTAATTATGTGACTGTATGATTCCTATAACTCCTTGACAGATTCAGGCCAAAGTAACTATAGCCCATAACTTATTGAAATTATTGGGATTAACTATAGAATGGATTTTATAATCATGAGAACTGTATTTAGTAACAGGGTTTATACTTTATTTGTTTAGTTTCTTATATATTTAGGTTGATTTTTTAAAGAACAGTATGCTGGATACTTAACAAAACCTTTCTAACTTGCAGTTTGTTCATATCAACAACTTAAAACTCATCTGCAGAGCACACCAACTAGTGCACGAAGGCTATAAGTTTATGTTTGATGAGAAGCTGGTAACAGTATGGTCTGCTCCTAATTACTGCTATCGTTGTGGAAATATTGCTTCAATCATGGTCTTCAAAGATGTAAATACAAGAGAACCAAAGTTATTCCGGGCAGTTCCAGATTCAGAACGTGTTATTCCTCCCAGAACAACGACGCCGTATTTCCTTTGAGGCCTTAGCCCATCCTGCTGACCGGTCACATTTTTCTGCCCTCTTCTTATCCCGACTTTTGTGTATTACCCTCTATAATATACTTTTTATTGAGCACTTTGCTGCTGAAATGCTGCCTCTTGCCTTTTTTTTTTTAATTTTAAATTATCTAAATTTATTGTTTGTTATGGTGTCTATAGCAATGTTTTCCTATCAGTTTTCTCCCCATCCCATCCCCACCTTGGACTCATCTGAGAAGACTTGAGAAATATCTTAATACTCATACTGCTGCATGTAGCTCTTGCTTATTTACTGGTCTGGGGGAAACAAGATGTGTTTCCTTTTTATAAAAAGCCAATTGACAGAAAAGACTACACTGAAATACTCCTCCTTTTGTATCATTCAGCCTTTTGTTTTAGTTTGGTAAGTTTTAAGAAATTTCAGCAGCAAAGTTGTTATTCAGTGGGCACGATGGACTGCAAATGCCTAGAGTTATGTATACTTGTCCCAGCTGTAAACTTCATTGTCCTTTGTTGGATGATATTTTAAATGGATAAAAAATAAATTGGTCTAAAGGGCTGCCCTCCTTGTTGTGTTTTTAAATTTCAGTTAAAAACTGCTACAGTTTATGACTTTGTACATTAAGATAATTGTATTGATCTTTTTTCAGATTCCTTGTATTTTTTAATAAAGTAATCTTAAATAAAATCCAGATAGGTTAAAGTGTTAGAAATTTTAAACAGCTTACATTGTTAGCTTAAAGTTATTCTTTTTTTTTTTCTCTTAGAGTTCTTGACCCTTTGGTTATTGAGTTTAAAACTTCAACTGAAATTCAGTACTATTTATTTAAGAAAAAAAAATCACTAAACTGTGCCTAAAAACATAACTGCCATATTAATGTTTTGGTTTATATCCTCTATAGTAATAGAAAAACATTTAATACTTGTAATACTAATGTGTTCATTTGATACCAGTTGAGTAGAATGTGATCAATCCAGTTTACAATCTATCATGAGTATCATTAAGTAAAATCTATGTACTTTTCAATAGGAATCATTCTCTTGCTGTAACACTTGACCTTAACTTTTAGAAAGTGTTCATTTTTTAACTGCAACTGGAAAGGTTGAAAAGCCAGGACTCTTGTATTTGTGAACTGTAATCTGAAGCAGGTTTTAAAAAATGTAGAAGAAAACAAATTGTCCTTTTTTGTAAAGGTCTGTGATACTATGTTTCAGCTTTGTGTAAGTAATTTGAATATCCAAAGGGTTGTGATGATCAGTCCTTGATATGCAATGTCCACTTAATAAGGACAAGTGTTCCAGTATCTCTTATGACTGTGGTCATAAATGATGTTGGAATTTACCATTTTGTGAAATAGTTGGTATCATTTTACTACTATAATTAATTTTGTCATTCCAGGAAATATTTGTGAAGCCAGCCAATTAATAAAGCACTTTAGCATCTGTTCAGGTAGTTTTGAAAACCAACTTTTCCCCTTCAGGATAAGAACTTCCAGGTTATCTAAAAATGCAATAAAAATTCTTTATAGTCTACGCTTCTTGGAACATAATTTTTCATCAGGGTTTTCTTTTATTAAATGAGCACAACACTTTCAATTTTTTCCCCAACCACCCAGCTACTTGTATAATTTTTAATTGTATAGGTATATGAAAGAAGTGGCTAAGACATTTGCTGCACACACTTGAACTGTTGGGTCAGTAGCTTTGTGTCATTGCCCTGACCCCAGTGTAATTCAGGGGGAAAGGTATTAAACTTACAGGGATATGTAGCTATGTATTTTCCTAATTGTTAAACACTGGAAATTAATGATGCAGACAACTTGGTGTGGTCTTTAAACAGCTCTCTGCAGTATTTTTTTTTTTCTGTTACCATAAACTGTATTTAAGTGCTTGCTCTCCTCTGCTTTTAAGTTGTACCAATAAAACCAGTAACCCTGAGCCCTCCCTTCCCATTTGACACTCCCTAGCTTAGATTGATGTAGTTGTTTTAGTTATCCCTGTAATGTGACTTTTATTTTTAAGTCATGGTGTACTGCATTTGTTTGTCATTAGTTGGGCAAGTGCCAATAATGTTCTGTCCATTCCTTAACTGCCATCTCTGTTCTGCCTGATTTTTTTTCTCTTCAACTGAATAATGGCTTTTTGCATGAAAAAAAATAGTTTTTACTATTAGACATGTAAAGGGAAGAGAGAGTGAATGTATTGGACTTTGTAAGCCTAAAAGGAATATTTGGATTCCTCTACTAAATAAGGGCTATGTACTATATAGAGTAATCAGGTGGTGGAAGATACTTGCAAGTCATAGGTTTGTAGGCAAGAAGGATCTGTTACTCCCTGTATCTAGGCTGAATGTAAAATCCCTTATGTTGTATTAATGGGGGTAATAACTATTTTTATTTGCCTATGATATACTTGGTTTCTAATAAAGTATCCTAGGCTCTAGTGAGAACTGTCTACTTTAATTGCCAATCTCTCCCTTCCTTACTTGCCTAATATATTCTTGGCTAGCTTTTTATAGATTAGTGCTTTTTCCTAAAATATCTCACCACTTGAAATGTGTTAATTTGGGTGTGATCCTAAAAAGCCTGGATCAAGAGCATACCTAACATGCGACCTGCATCAGCTCCTACTCCATCTGGATGTCTAGAACTGTTGGAAGATTTTGACGTCTTAAATACTGGGTTTTGCTTTTGAAATAAGGTTTGAAATATTATTGTTCGTTGCATTAAGATTTGTGTGTTTCTGCTTTGTAAGCCCAGCACCAGGTTATGGAAAATGCCTGTATTGTGAAAGCAAATCTAAACTTTCTGAGCCTCTTTCATTGTGAGAAATAGAATTGCTTTACATCAGCCTCCAGAAAATTGTGTACCTGGAGTTGAAGAGATTTAATAGCAAGAATCCAGATTTTTAAATGTAATTGTTTTTTAATTGCTAATGTTTGTAAAGCACCTTCAGTTCTTTGGATGAAAGGTGCTATATTATCTCAGTGTAAATTAATAAAGGTATTATAGGAAGTTTGTCAGAAAATTTTATCTAATGCATAGTTTGTAGTATATCCCAACAAGAAGTTAGCATTTTATATAACACAATTTAAATTAAAAAATGCTTCTTCCTTCACTTGGTTGCTTGAGTAGTAAACAGAAGTGAAACTTTCTTGTTCCGCACTTGACTCTGGGCTAAGTATTCCATTCTTTAACAGCATCATCCATTGTTATGTCCTGGATATGGTACCCAGAACCATGCTTCATGAGATTGTCACAACTCTTTCACTTGTATATTTACAGTGTGCAGTCATGCTGAGGAAATGTACAGTAGTAAAACACCAAAAAGAAGCATTTGCAAAGTCACTTAGCATGATTCCAAACACAGTCAATGCCTGAGGAAGTTTGGTTCCTTATTCCCCTCTTACTAGTATGTGCCTTACCCTCATGAGAGTATTCTTATGCTGACTTGCATCATTCAAATGTTTTTTTCTAAATTCAAATGCATGAAATTTATGAAGATTTTTTTTGTGTATGTGTTAACAAAAATACTTAACTGTGTAAGTATATTCCACTTAATCCCTGGGCACCCACTGTTCTCAGCAAGCTGCTTTTGTGTGTAAATGGAATGGGATGGAAAAGACTGCATGGCGGTATTATGGAATAGTGGGAAAACATAGGCTTTGTGATTAGGTATACGTAACAGCCTCGGCCATGCCTGGCAGCTAACCTGTATTGAGCACACGTAGCTAAATGTGATACCCTATTTTGTGGTACCCTTACTATGGCTCTGTGACCATATATATATGTATATATATGTGTGTGTATATATATATATATGTGTATGTATATGTATATAAATTATGTATATATATGCATGTATATATGTGTATATATATATTTTTTTGGTCAGATGAGTAAACCAGATTAAAGAGGATGGATAACTTGCCTAGGGTTGCACAAGAGAGCTTGAACTTGAATCCCTATAGGGCATACCAGAGTACATCTTAAGCCCTATTACAGAAATTTTAAGCAATATTTGTTAATGTAGCTCTGTGACCCTGAGCAAGTTGGGTTTTATGAATCTTGAAATTCTGTGTCTATATAGAATACTACACAGGCTTGATTTGCACTCCTAAAGCTCCCAGCCCTTGGCCCAAAGCTACTATTTATCGAGTACTTAATGATATACCATTTGTCCAAATTCAGTATGGTTGGGAAGTAATAACCTGAGGCAATATATAATTGCTGACATAGCAAAGCTTATGTTTGTACAACAAATTTGGAGAAGGAAATGTTTGATATGGGACAGAGAATTAGGCTTAAAAGAGGAAGTATGAGTTGAACGTGGCCTGGAATGATGGGATGTGCATTTCTTATATAGTAAAAGCACAAAAGCAGAGATTAGAATTTGGACATGAGAAAGATAGGACTTGAGGGAACTTCTTGGGGCAGCATAAATAAATAGCTGCAGCTCTGTTAATATCTACTATGTACCGGAGAAGCATTGGCCAATTATGGAAAGTCTTGGAAAACCAGGCAGAGGATTTTAATCCATGTTTTAAGCAAAGTAATGAGTGATATTTTAAGATTAGCTTCCTAGTGAGTTGATTCTCCACCAGTGCTCCTACCCCACCTCCTCTAGTCTTGTCTGGCATTATTCTGGGATTCTTTACCCTTTCTGGCTTGGTGATATCCCAGGTGGATACTGTTGGTTGGGATTGAAGTGGTGGTGGTTCTGTGATTTTAGGATTACATAAAATACTAATTTAGGGGACCAACAGGTGTTTGACATTTTTTCCTTATCATAGCTCATAGCCGTTTTTAATTTTTTTCAGTATATTGATTTTAGAAAGAGAGGAAGGGGGAGAGAGAAACATCTATTTGTTGTTCCACTTACATATGCACTTAACTGGTTGACCTCAACCTTGTCGTATTGGGACAACACTAATCAAATGAGCTTACCCAGCCAGGGCAGCTCATAGCTATTAAAAAAAAATCTCTATAATATACCATCATTACTCTTTTATAGAAGGAAGGTCATTTTTAACACCACAGATGTAAAAAGCCATTTCTGCATAAAGGAAGTGATAAATTTGCTTTTGTGAAAAGCTAGTATCCTCATTTTTGACATTTTTTAAGATCAGTGAGACTTGGCCTTAACCTGTTGGTGTGTGTTATCCTAACCCGTCTCATTTTTGATGCATAAAAGTGTGTCCTAATGGCAGTAGTTTAAGAGAAAGTTTTATGCCTCCTTCCAGTTTTATTTGGTGGATGCCAAGGATTTACCGAACAAAAAGTACACAAGGAATAGAGAGAGGCTGAAAGGGATACTGCCTTCAGGGGAGAATTCTTTAACACATTAATGAGCTATGTCTTATTTTTCAAGGATGGCCTTGTTAAAGGCAACATTGTGCTTGTGTGTTGGTGATCTGTCAACAACAATAAAAATGCAGTGAAATGTATTTTTATTGATTAACTGGCATAGAACTTAAAATCATCTGTGGTGTCACGGATGGTTAGCACGTACTCGGGGATCAGTCTATTCAGGTCTTTCAAAATGGAACACACTGCTCTTAGTTATGGGATCAATTATTGCAGTGTTCTTATGTGGCAATTCAAAAAAGAACTTGCTTTCTCGGAAACCTGCATCCAAGCTTTTGATCTTTTTCTGCGGAGGACTGAGCATCTAAACCACAGTTTATTTGGGTAGATTCTTAAGAATTTTCTGGCTGGATCCTCTATAAAGGGTATTTGGGAACCGTGGGAGCATTTTTTTCAGTATGATGGAGAGCAGCGATTTTCAACTTTTTTTGATCTCATGGTACCCATAAACTAATTACTAATACTCTGCGGCACACTGAAAAATATATTTTTGGCGATCTGACAAAAAAAAAATAGGTATAATTTTGATTCATTCACACCGGACGGCTATGGTTGTGTTGGGTGTTGTAATTTTTTAATTTTGACAGTTTAAGGGAGAAAAGATCAATTCTCCTGACTAAGCAGTCAGGTATTGCATGTTTTAAAAATTCTTGCAGCACACCAGTTGAAAATCGCTGATGTCGAGATGGGCCGCATACAAGGAAGTGGTTCAAAATGAAGCACGTTTTGGAGAATTGCCTCACTGTCGCATCTGCCAGAGGAGTTTGGGAAATTCCAGTGATTGGCTTTTAGTCCTGGCTTGGTGCAGTGTAGCGGGGCGCCAGCAGGTGTGTGGGATGCAGGACGCCTGGCGAGCTGAACCTGCCTGCAGGTGTCTGGCGCCAAAGGTGCAGTTTCTAGTTTCTGACACACGGTGGCGATCAGGTCTCCACTGCTCAGCCAGCCGTCTCTAAGGCACCTCTGCCGCCACCTGCAGTCTCAACCAAACTCTAGATGACGGAGTGTGACGGCTCGAGCGTCCAATCGACCATCAGGCTTTTGGGTATCCTACAGCTCTAACCAATAGGAGCCGAGGAGAGGCGCGGAGGAGGCGGGCCCCGCGGCAAGCCTGGCGGAGGCGCGAGGCCCTCCTCCCGCCTCTCCGCCTACTCCATCCTCCGCTGCCTCAGCTTCCCGAGCGAGCCTTGCGGCCGCCGGAGCAGCTCCCGCGGCGGAGCAGGAGCCGGATGGTCAGAGGAGCCCGGCAGCCTCAGCAGCCGCGGAGTCGCCTGGCCCCCAGGTGGGGCGGACTGTGGGTGGCGGTCAGGGTTGGAGATGGGGCGCGGGAGCGGGCCCAGGGACAGCAGCTTGGGGCCGTGTTGCATTCGGGGCGCTGAGGCTGGAAAGGGGGGGTTAGGTTGGAGGGATTCGGGGCTTCCTAAGGCGGGGGCGGGCGGGATGGGCGGCGATCGCATCCTTGAGGCCGGAGGGGTATGGGCAGGAGGGACGCCGAGGGGTGAGGCTGGGGGCACTGGGCCAGGAGGGGCAGGGCGCGAGCGCCCCATGGAGGGGCCGTGGAATGCGGGGGGCGCGGAGCCCGGAGGGGCGGGGCTCGGAGGGGTAGTGCAAGCTCGCCAGGGGGTGGGCACGGGAAAGGGGAGGCCGGAGGGGCGTACGGGGGTGACTAGGCAGACAATGAGTAGGTGGTGGTGGGTGATTTTGGGGAGCTGGGCTGTGACGAATTAGAGCTGAGGATGGAGTGAGAGATTAGGAGGCAGAGCAGGGTTTGGACTAAGCAGACATTAGGGGAACAGAGACCCAGCATTGCTCGGTCTTGGCCAATAGGGGAAACAGAGTATAGGCATTTGGAAGGTCGGGTATGGACTTAGCGAGCATATAGACCTAGAGGGTGATACATCGAGTTCCTAACTGGCAGAGTAGGGCCCGGGGACGTGTTCTTGTATGTTACTTTTAGTTACCATCGTATCTGTTTGGTCTACAGACTGACTGGCACAGTGGAGAAACCACCTCGAAAACGGAAAAGCAGGTAAAGCAAAATGCCTTCCTATTTTGTTTCGTGTTTTTCCATTTGCTTGGTTACACCTGTGCCATACTGCATAATTACACACTGTCCATAGGTGAAACCTTTTATTTAGCTCTCTTCTTAATGAATATAACTATCTGCAAGACTTTGGGGCCGGGGGAGTAATCCAAAATAATACAGGAAAGAGATGTGGATAATTGGGAAATCCTAGTTTTTTACTTAAGCTATAATTTCAGCTTCTCCACCAGCTCTGTTTAGAAGCTAATGTTTATTGACCATCTACTATATGCCACATATTGTGTGCAAGTGCTTTATATGTGTTATTTTCTGTAATCCATGAAGTCCCCTAAGGAAGTATGTACCATTTTCACTATTTTGCAGAAGAGGGAACTGGGGAAAAGACAGGCCAAGTATTTACCCAAGATCACACATCCAGTAAATGACAGAACCAGGATTTGAATCTAGGCCATCTGACTCCAGAGCTTAAGCTCTTAACCATTATACTATAATGCTTCTAATAAACATCCAATTGAAAATAGGTTTTCTTATTCCTTTTTTTCCTTGTACATAGAGTCTAGTGAACAGTTAAATCATAGGGAAATAGAAAAAAGGGCTTACATAGTCTGCAGACAAGCGAGTTATTTCTGAGGAAGAGGACCATATATCCACTGCATAAACATTTTGAGTGCATTCAACATCTCAGGTACCATAGAGCAATTCTGTATAGTCATTAGAAGATTGCTTTTGCACAGATGTAGGAACTGGGCTAGAGCAAGTAAGCTGTAATAGCAAGGATGTGACCAGTAGGACTACGATGATAGCTAATATTTGGTACGTTATTCATGTTAGTACACAGAAAACCTCAACAGTGCGTAGATGTGAAAATGCTGATTGTGGAAGTGCCAAGAGCCACAGTTCCTTTATCTCTTGTTAGACCTATATGGTTTAATATGGTAGCCATATGTGGTTGTTGAGCACTCCAAATGTGGCTAGCATGACTCAAGAACTGACATTTTAATGTTATTAATGATAATTAATTTAAATTCAAACACCAACACTTGACTCGTTATTGAAATATATGGTTCAGGGTGTTTGGAGCAACTTGGTTATGTGAATCTACTTTTTCATCTATAAATTTTATGAAATTTAAATACAGATCAAATATCTCCAGTGAAAACTTAATGTCCCAAATGAGATGCGCTCTATAAAATAGGCACCAGATTTCAGGTTAGTACAAAAAAATGAATGTAAAATTTCTCATTACTAATTTTTATATTGATTACATGCTGAAATAATATTTTAGGTATATTGGATTAAATAAAAGTGTTACTAAAATTATTTTCACTTTTTCTGAATGGAAAACTGGAAACTTAAAATCTACATATTTGGCTTGAATTATATTTGTTTTTGACAGCCCTTGTTTAGCGCTCAATACCCCACTGCCAGACTCTTGTATTAGCCTGACTGGCTTCCCTACCTCTATTCTGTAATTTATTCACCATACTGTGCAAGTTGATCTTGTAATTCTTATGCTTAAGATTTTTCTGTTTCCCCATGGCTTATTGACTTTTGCCTAACCATAAAAAAGAGACCACCTTTATTTCATCTGTGCTTATCTTTCTAGCCACAGTTTAGTACTGTGGCCATGGAAGTTCTCAGTAACAGACCTATTAAATGTCTGGTATTAAATGACTTAACTTTCTGGTGAACCCTTCACGATGAATTAATTGCTGAATGTAACTCAGTGTTCTGTTTGTCATTCCCAGAACTTATGTTCTCTCTTTGCTCTGGGTTTTTTCACACTTTTTCCTTTTCTTTTTTTTTCTGGAATATCTCCTCCTTGTTCCTTGGCAAGCTCCCTCCTTTAAGACTTAGCTCAAATGTCACATCCTCAGTGCTGACTTTCCCCACCCTCTCCTTCTCCTTCCTCTGCTTACCTTGTTCGCTCCCATGATAGCCTTTTTGAAAACCAGTTATAACGGTTTGGGTTGAATGTGAATTCTAGCTCTGTCAGCTGCAAGTTGTGAGATCATATGCAAGTTAATAAACCTCTCTGAGCCCTAGTTTCCCTGTCTGTGTAATAGAAATAATAATAGTTCAACCCTTACAGGGCTGTCAAATGCTTACTACAGTGCCTGGCATATAGAAAATACATAATAAATATTAGATTAAGAAGCACCCATCAGATGCCTTTTATTTTCCACCTCTTTTTAAAATATATACTGTTTAAAGGATTAATAATATAGATACTAAGGCAAAGAAGAAATGAGGGAAGAATAATAAAATTAAGCCAGTGGAAAAGTTAGTCGCTAGAGTAGGAAGCACTGTGGTTCCTAAAGGTGGGCTCCATATTTGGCTCTGAGTGTCCTAGAATAAAGCAAAGAAGAAAACAAAACTCAACTTACAGATTAATGATGTCTGTAAAGTCAAAGACAGGTTGTTAAAGGGAAGCATGGCTCCTTTTGACTGTTAAACATGAGACATCTCTCTCACTGGTTTCCAGGGTTGGGAACACTATGGTCTTGTGGGAAAGAAAATCCCAGTGATAAGTATAGTAGTGAGTTTTTCAAGATTGCTTTTTATAATGCTTTTCGTTCCAGGTTTAGGTAATGCCAGTAAACAGAACATCCTTCAAAGAGCCAAAGCAGTGTGGTTTGGGTATATAGTTCCCCGGCTTTGGGGCTCAGTTCAGAGACAAAGAGGAATGATTGAGCCACAGGGACTCTTGCTTATCTCCAGCACCTAGTATAGTGCCTGGCCTTTAGGAAACTGTTGACCGAATTACTGAGTGAATGAGTCCTTCTCGGTGAATGTTATTTCTTGTAACCAAGTTTCGTCAACCATCAGACAGCAATGAGTTTAAGTGTATATTCTCAGTCAAGAATCAAGAGGTCGTGTATTCTGACTGCCTGTCTGATTAAAGCCAGATCCTGATCAAGTCAGGATTTTGACCTGAATGGACAGCCAGCATACATCTCTACAGAGGTTCTGTGGGCAAGACCAAGATTTGTTTCAGAAAACAGTTTCGGGACTGCACTAAAAATAGGAAGCAAAATGGCCATTTATGGCCCTAAAGATGGACTGGAGAGAAAGGATGTCATGACTATAGCCAGACATTTTTTTACAACTGTTACTATGAATTGCATACTGTGGCCGTAAAAATTCTTGATATCAAATGATATAACTTCCTGGTGAGCACTTCAAATGAGTTAATTGTTGAACGTACCCTAAAGAATCCCTTTGAGTTGGTCTGCTGTGTAGAGTTGTTGACTGTTATACTGTGTATCCTGTTACATTTTGGAAAATAGTTGCCAAAAGTATGATTTTTATTTTAGAATAGTTGCTGTTAAGTCATTCTTTTTGATAAACATTTGTTACAGCTGAGTAATCTTTTGAGAATCTTCCTAGTACTCACCAAACTCTACTACAGTTAAAAAAAAAAACCAGGATAGTTTGAGGTAAGTAAGCATCTCATACCCTACTCTTACTCCTTCTTTGTGTTTTCCTCCCCACTAAAACTTTTATTTCCTTGTCTTAACTTCCTTTTTGTATCTGTAGTACTGAGGGGATACTTAATAAAACTAATGAACTAATAAATGACTTGGTGACAAGAGGGAGTTATTGTGGAATGGGGCTTTGGTGGTCCAAAATAATGTGATAATAGTTAATACCCCTTGATAATCTATACTAGACTGAAAGGAATTTAAAGGTTAGGAAACTTCATCTCAGTGTGGTTTTAGAAAATTCTGAAGACTTCAATATGTCTGTTAATAACGTTTCGGTTATGAGTTACAGAATCCTTTCAGATGCTATTTAGAACAATACCCATTTGTTTGGGTAGAGATAACATTAATTAAAACTTTATTGTATGCCCTGATCAATGTGGCTCAGTTGGTTGGGCATCGTACCACAAGGCTAAGGGTTGCTGGTTTGATTCCTGGTCAGGGCACATGCCAGGGTTGCATGTTTGGTCCCCTGTCAGGGCACAAACAAGAGGAACCTGATTGATACTTCTCTCTCACGTTGATGTTTCTCTCCCTCTCTTTCTCCCTTCCCCTCTCTGTTAAAAAAATGAAAGAAAAAAATTATTGTATGATTTGGGTTGTGTGTGTGTGTGTGTGAGAGAGAGAGAGAGAGAAAGAGAGAGAGAGGTATTTAAAGCAAAGGATCCAGGCATTTTGATGGTATATGTAATTTGTTTGAATTACAAAACATTTAAATGCTTTCTACTAGAGATACTGTACTAGAAATGCTGTACTAGAGATACAGACATGGGTGAGAAAAGCTCATATATTTGTGGGGGAGATAGACACCAGTAAATGAGACAGTGTAATGACTGTGTATTTACAAAGGGTTTTATAGTAGCTCTGCACACTGGTCAGGAGGGCAGTTTCCAGAGAAAATTCATCTAGACCCTCGAGGTCTGGAAGGTTGTTTGTGGCAGCAGTGTGGCTGTAGAAAAGACAGAGTAGAGCCTGGAAGTGGACTGACTAATGATGAGGTCTTGGTGGAGTTGAGCTCAAGACCTGAACCAGGGCGGTATCCGATATGGAAAGAACGGTTTTTATAAAAGCTTGGGCTATGATGATCAATTTTTAGAGGTTAAGAAGTGGTTCTCAATGAGGAGCGATTTTGCTTTCCAAAGAGCATTTGGCAGTGTTTGGAGACATTTTTTTTTTTTGTTACACCTGGGGACATCTAAAGGGTAGAGAGACCAGAGATGTTGCTGAACACTTAAATATACAGGACAGCTTCCCACACCTAAGAATTTTCTAGTTCCAGCTGTCAGTGATGCTGAGGCTGAGAAGTCCTGGACTAGAGTTTGAATCCCAGGGCTTCCAAACACTGGCCTTGGGCTCTTGGGCAAAGTATTTCACCTTTGAGCCTGCTCGCTGTTTTGCAAAATGCAGGTAATGATAATGTACCCACCTTGTCGGATTATTCATTTCTTCCAGTAGTATATAAACGGTGTGAGTGGAGAGATTTTTGTCTGTTTCTTTGCT